CGTATAGTAGATATGCGATCGTTCGAGGTAGCAGTTGCACGCGTACCACACGGTGTGTATAGATGCATATAACCCCCCACACGCACAAGGCCGAGTCCCATCCTATCATATCCTATCCTATCGTATCCTATCCCATCCCATCCCATCCCATCCCATCCCATCCCATCCCATCCCATCCCATCCTCCTTCTCCTCCTCCTCCTCCTCCTCCTCCTCCTCGTAAGGGGTCTGGGTGCACACCTGCCCCCGTTTTGGCTGGCCGTTTTGCTCTGGGTGTTCACGCCTCCCTCGCCAGGCCAGGAGGGCGTATACGCCGGTCCCGGGCCGAGGCTCGGCCTGAACAGGGTCGGTGCGGGTGCATCTGCGTGGTCCGCGCCCCCCCCGCAGGTCGGGGCACCGGATGATGACGGAGCTGCTGGTCGCGGAGATCGGCCGGAAGCCGTCGGACAGGCCCGCTCTCCCTCGTTTTGTTGTTGTTCTCTCTCTCTCTCTCTCTCTCTATCGGAGGTGAGGGGGTGAGATCGAAGTGGAACGGAGAGCCCCCCTAATTACCGGGAAATCGATTTCGGTTTCGTGTTCGTGCGTGCCGTGCGGGCGAGGCGAAGCTGCGTGGGCGGGCGAGAGAAAGTCTCCTGTGGCTGAGGCGCGGCCGGACCAAATGTCTCCCTTCCGGGCGGCCGGGGCCCCGCGGTGTCCCGCCGGTGTCCCGCTGGTGTCCCGTGTGGCTGAGGCGCGGCCGGACCAAACGTCTCCCTTCTGGGCGGCCGGGGGCCCGCGGTGTCCCGCCGGTGTCCCGCCGGTGTCCCGTCGGTGACCCGATGATGATGATGATGATGATGATGATGATGATGAGGATGAGGATGGATGATGAGGATGAGGATGAGGATGAGGATGAGGATGAGGATGAGGATGAGGATGAGGATGAGGATGAGGATGAGGATGAGGATGAGGATGAGGATGAGGATGAGGATGAGGATGAGGATGAGGATGAGGATGATGAGGATGATGCTGTTGCTGTTGATGTTGATGTTGATGTTGTTGATGGTGATGGTGATGATGATGTTGGTGTTTTATATTGATGATCGATAGTGAGATCGATAGTGAGGTCGAATGTGAGATCTATAGTGAGATCGATAGTGATATCGATTGTGAGATCGAGCGTGAGACCGAATGTCAGATCGATTGTGAGATCGATTGTGAGATCGATAGTGGTATTGGTAGTGAGATCGATTGTGAGACCGAATGGGAGATCGATTGTGAGATCGAATGTGATATCGATAGTGAGATCTTCAGTGAGACCGAATGTGAGATCGATGGTGGGATCTGTTGTGGGATCGATTGTGAGATCGATCGTCAGATCGATTGTGAGATCGATCGATTGAGATTGATAATGAGATCGATAGTGAGACCGAATGTGAGATCGATTGTGATATCGGTTGTGATATCGATAGTGAGATCGGTAGTGAGACCGAACGTACGATCGATAATGATATCCAAAGTGAGTTCGATAGTTAGATTGATAGTCAGATCGAATGTTAGATCGATTGTGAGATCGATTGTGAGATCGATTGTGAGATCAATAGCGAGACCGAATGTGAGATCGATTGTGAGATCGATTGTGAGATCGATAGTCAGATCGATTGTGAGATCGATCGATTGAGATCGATTGTGAGATCGGTAGTGAGTTCGATAGTAAGATCGATCGAGTGCGACGTTGGTCCCTTCCCCCCCCCCCTCACCTCCTTATCACCCGAAGGGTGGTCGTATAGGTATCTATATATATGTGTGTGTATGTGTGTGTTGCCTCCCTCTATGTATGTATGTCATCTCTCTCTCTCTCTCTCTTTCTCATCTCTCTCTCGCTCTCTCTCTCTCTCTCTCTCTCTCCTCTTCCTCTGTCCCGAGGCCCCCTCGCCTCGCGAAAACAAGCATGACGGAAAGTGTTGCCTGCTAGCTTCGGGAGGAAAGCTGGTCCCAGGAAGTGGCCGTGTCGGGATTTCTGCGCGCCCACGTTACGAAACATCTGGACATGTTGGGGTCTGGGTCTCTCTCTCTCTCTCTCTCTCTTTGTCTCTCACTCTCTCACTTTCTCTCACTCTCTCTCTCTCTCTCTATCTGTCTATATCTCTCTCTCTCTCTCTCGCTTTCTCTCTCTCTCTCTCTCTGTCTCTCTCTCTCTCTCTCTCTCTCTCTTTATCAGGAGGGAAAGCACAGGCACAAATAATCGTCAATTCCTTGCAGGATATGAAAAGATATGGGAAGTGTGGGGGAAGACAACAGTCAAGAAATCATGCGAAAATATAGTGAATCCTGGGATTTGTGGCTATTCATCTGTGTGCCCCTGCGCCCCTTCCTCTCTGCCACTCCTCCCCCGCTCTGAGCCTGAAGCAGACGGGTCCTGAGGGACACGGGCCCTGGAGGTTTTCGTTCACGGTGGTCGGCCTCCCGGTGCTGGGCCCCTGGAGCGTCCAAGAACTGCTCAGGACGGTGAGCTGTTTCTGGGGAAAGCCATGTGGTCGAGGGCCCGTTCTATTCAATACGGATGCAACTCCTGGGAGGTCAAACTCTGACTTTGCCCTGGTCCGAAGTCTGGCTTAATTCGACTTACCCCCGCTTAATCCGGCTTAATCTTGTTCAATCCGGCTTCATCCCGCTTCATCCGCGGCCGAATCTTGCGCAGTGACCCCCCAATGAGGCTTCATTCTCCGTAGTCCTTCCGACGAAGACCTCCCAGTAGTTGCCTCCTCACCTCAGGACCCCTGCGACTGGCTCTCTCTCCGACCCCACCCCTGCCAGTCTAGGCTTGACGCTTCGGGGCCCTCCTGGGCCTCTGGGGGCCTTCTCGGGCGCCACGGACGGGTTTCCCTCGGGATTCTGGCCAGCACGGGTCCCATGGCAAAGGGTCGAGAGCTCGGGAACCGAGACATTTAGGACAAATCCGGAAAAAAATGCGACACCAGATGTTTGGATCTCTATTGTTGTTTGTTGTTTCTCTGTCTCTCTCTCTCTCTAACTATTTCTCTCTCTCTCTCTCTCTCTGTCTCTCTTTCTCTTTTTCTCTGGGAAGCGACCCCGTGGCGTCCTCTTCCTTATCCACTCCACTCACGTCCGCGTCGGCTCGCTGCCAGCACGCAGATGTGGGCGGAAGGAAAACGAGCGCGGCTCCGTTGGGGGAAATTTGTGATTTTGTCGGTCAATCGGTTTCCCCAGCGGGCCAGAAGGCCTTCCTCCCACCTGGCGAGTCTGATCAGCATCGTCAGACCTACGTATCCGCATCCCCATGGGTCAGGATTCCGTAGCGCCACTAACCTTCAGGAGGGGGAAAAAAACACAGACGCAAATAATCGCCGATTCCAAAGAACATGTAGAAACTATGGGAAGTGGATGGGAAGACGAGCGTCCAGAACAAATGGAAAAGTATGGAGAATCCTTGGATTCATGCCTAGCCCTTCATCGAGGTGGGGATGCATGCTGTGAATCCCGACGGGGAGGGTTCCCACCTCGAGGGCAGGTCGGACAGCGGGGCAAGGCTGTCTCAGTGGGGCACGGGATCGATCTCACGATGCTGATATTCAAGCAGTGCCGAGGCGCCCTGGTTTGCCGATTGGCCCACCAAAGAATGCTCTCAGAACCTGCTGTGGTTTGCACGAAATGTTCTTAGAACAGTTCCGGTTGAGACCGTCTGGTTTGACTCATGGGATGTATGTTCGAATTATGCTTTCGTGATGAGGACACTGCTTGGTTCTAGGAACATGCCGTGGCAGGCCTGTAGGAATGCCGGGACGGTCGGTCCCTGCTCAAGGACTGGGATCGGTCCCGCGATGTTGATACGAGGTTGTTGGCAACGCTTGTGCCTCCAGGCACGCGCACTCACCGCCCACGCGGCGGACGATGCTCGTCTGCGTTGCGCGGCCCCGGACCCGCGAGCACGCGTCTGCCTGCCAGCGCGGTGCTGCCCCAGAGGCGGACGCGCGCGGGTCGGTGGGCGGGCGGGCCAGGGCCAGGAAGGCGCCCCTCCGGAGTGGGGGCGCGCGCCCAGAGGCTGCGCGACGTCGAGGGTTCGGCCTGCAGAGTGCACGCGCCGCTTTTGGTGCCACCGCCGCGCATTCCGGGCCAAACGCGCTTGCCTCGAACAGGCGCTCGGGCAAGTATCAACGTTCGGCCTTCGTTCTTTGTCCGAACAACGTTCGGACAAAACAGAGTATGTCTACCCCCTTGCAGTCTGCGTGTTCCTCCACTCTGCCTCGTGGTGTGAACGGATCGTCCGTCCCAGGGCTCCCAGGTAAGATTCAGCCCGTTCTGTGGACGCTGGGAAAGGGGCCTGGGGGCTTCGAACCCGGGGGGGCCCTCACCCCCCCCCTTCATTGCCAGGGGAGGGCGGTTCGAACCGGGGATGGGGCCCCCCCCAGCGCAGGCGCCAGCGCCGTGGGGCAGGGGGGACGACGACGACGACGACGAAGTTGGACCGTGCCGTGCCCTATCTGTATGCGGTTAAATTTAAATCGAGCACTATTAGGATTTAGTTGCAGATGGACCCAGCTACACTAGGGTTCCCTTAGCGGTGGATCGAGCCCTACTAGGACGTCATTCAAGTTGGACCGAGACGCGCAGGATGGTGTTAGAACTAGGTCGAGCTCGAATAGCATTCAGGTAAAGTTGGGTCCAGTTGTAGTAGGATTCAACCAGAGCTGGAAAGATCTCTTGTAGGATGCTAGCAATGATGGATCGAACCTTATTCAGATCCTTTGAATGACAGCTGGATCAAGCTATAGTATGAGTCTGGTCGACCTTGATCGAGCCCCATTTGAATTCTATGAGGGGGAGCCCCCCCCCCGGTTCGAACACCCCCCCTCCCTTGGAAGAGCCACCCCCGGTTCGACACCCCCCCCTTCGAAGCCGCCCCCACCCCCCCACGGTTTAGAAGACCCCCCCCATGGTTCCCCCCAAGGCAGAGGCCAGTGTCCTGGGAGGGGAGGGGGCTCCTCCGCGAGCTACATTTTTGTTGGTCTTGGAGGGAGGGCAGTTCCGAGGTGTCCACAGATTTGTTCCAAGCAAGCGTCCATGAAACGCGTTCTCGACCAGGTAATGATGTGTTGTTGGTGCATATTCAGGGGCGACGCTAGGGGGGGACAGGCATAGGGGGGGATGCATCGACCCCCAATCGCCCACTGATCGCCGATAGGGTCCCGATAGCCCCAACCTGCCCAGGAAGGTTCGGATTTGCTGTCGGGGCCCTATCGCCGGTCTTTCCGCGATACATCGCCGATTCCAGGTCGATGTTTCCCCCCTCAACTCTGCGTTGACCCTCACATGCGCCCCAGCGTCTGGAAGCATGCCGCAGAGGTTCCGGCACATGGGCCATTCCGTTTTGCAGGCTGGCCGCCTTGCAGGCATTGATCGTTCGATTTGGTGTTAAGTCGGGGTTGTCCTTCTACAGGGGGAATATTCAAGAATAGTCACAAAATAGTCTGGGGACGATTGTTCTATCATGTTTGACCATTTGGGAATATTTGTTGAGGATGTTTTAAAATGTCGTCCAAACTTTGCCTTTAGGGGGACATGCCCGACCTAACTTTGGTGTCAGCTTGGTACGCTGGACCGAGTCAGTTCCGGGGGGGGCTGGCGCTCGCGCTGATATTTCTGACGCTCGCATCATCAAGGCCCTCGCATTGCAAGGATCGGGGAAGGATGCTCTTCAAGAGTTGCCTCCCGCTCTTCGAGTAGGGGATCGACTACTTATTCGATTTTACTCCAAAAAATGTTCGTCGAACCTGCGAAAAATACGTAGAATGCTCGGCAGGTCTGCGGAGCATCCGACGGACAACAGAGACGATAAGGGTAAACCAACTTTGTAGCCGATCTCCCACTTGAGCTCTGTGGCCCAGGGGCGACTTGCCAAGCTGCTACAACATGTGAACCGCTCCCCTTCCCCTCCTGCCCTCCCTCCCTGCTGGGACCCTTTTGTGCGGGGTCCGGCGGCGAGCACAGAGGCTTGGCATCGCTCGGACGTGTGCGTTTTTCCTTCGGCGAGGACCATCGAGGAGCATCCTTGATCATTTGGCGAAAAAAACACGCACGAAACCAAACAAAAACACAGGGAATGGACGTCCGAGCGATGGCCAGGAGGGGAAACCAGAGGGGGCAGACCCTCTCAGGGGGCGGCGGGGCTTCTCAGAGGCCCTCGCGCCCTCTGAGGAGCCGCCTGCGTATCCGGAGAAGGCGCACTACAAGGCTTCTCAGAGGGCCCCGCCTTCTGAGGAGCCCCCGCCGCCGTCTGGGAAGGCCTGCCCCCCCCTCTGGCCTCGCCGCCGATCCCTGCCCTCCCCTCCTGCTGGGTGCCCCTGTAGGCGGGAGCCCCTGAGCTCCTTCCGCCAGCACCTCCAAAGTGGAGCGCGCCGGCTTGAGCGTCCGGAGTGGATGTCCTCTGCGCCGCCAGAGGCACAAGCGGGGTGCCGTACTTCGCTCGTGCGCCAGGGGTCGTATCATGTAAATGCACCGGTAAGTTCTGTCAAGGTGGCGCGGTGTCTTCTCAGGCCGCTCACTTGGCATCTTCTGGGGGCCTTCTATGTCCTACAGATGGCCGTTTGTTTCTTGTGCCCGACGCGGGTTCAGCGCAGACTCGGCGCGCGTTCGACGTGGATTCGACGCGGATCCGACATGGATCCGAGGCTGATTCGACAAGATCGACATGGATTCGGCGTGGGTTCGACGCGGATAGCGGCGCGATGGACCAGAAGGCCCCTTGAGGATGCATGAGGAACTATGCTACGCACGCAAGAGGCAAACCAGATGCAGCGATGCAGACGCATACTGCAGTTGGGCTCGGTGGAGCCTTGCAGCGCGCGCGCGCGTTGGCGTCGAGGTCCCTGAACGACAGGGAGGGCTACTCGTTGGCAGCCGGCTTCGCCCTCGGGTGCGTGTGCCTGGGCTTGGGTGCGGAGGCGCCCGGGGGGGCACCTTTGGAAAAGGTGTTACACTCGGGGCCCTGAAGAAGGAACCCTTTGGGTTGGGGAGGGGCTCCGTGTTCCTTAAGTGTTTCACAGTTTGCCTCAGGTTTTCCTTTGGTTTTCGACACGAAATCGAAGTTTAGCTTATGGAAAACAGGGGCCTCGTTCCTTATTTAGGGTTCCTTAGGTCAACGCCCCGACTGTACACCCGCGTTCCGTCGGTCGCCTCGTGGCGTGCTGCTCGCTCTGCCGGAGAGCCTGATGCCGCCCCCGACGTGACTGCACGGCGGCACCGGGAGACGTGAGCAGCGAAGCTTCCGGAAGGAGCACGAGATCGAGAGCATCGCCGGGCAGCGACCTGGCAGTGTCGTTCCCACGCGTTGGAGAAGGAGGAGGAGGAGGAGGAGGAGGAGGAGGAGGAGGAGGAGGAGGAGGGGGAGAGGGTCCCGCAAGAGGGCTAAGTAGAACGATCTGTTCAGCGAGGCCATCCGCACCCTTGCGCTTCCTCGTCCTCCTGTTCTCGCCTCAGACCATCCTCACCCCTCGGCGAAGGCAATCTTACAAGTAGGCCACGTCTCATATCTGATCCGCGGGCAACTTGTAGGGCACTGCATACCACCACTGCAACATAGGTTCGACAAGAAAACGCCATGTGGTGAGAGGGAAGGTGATGCATTCGACCTGCGTGCGTTTTTGTCGTACCGCGTCGCACTGCTTTATCCGGTATCCCGTGCGAGAAACTTGCAGCATGCATCTCCGGAGCAAGCAGCACGTCCGTCTTGCCGCTCTGGTCTGCAACGAGCTGGGAGCTTCGTCTGCGGCACCCGCTCCATGCAGGTCGGCACGGGTAGTCAGCGGGTCAACTCGGCACGGACCGACCTCCCGAGGGTGGGCTCATGAGAGCCAGATGTGGAAAGCCGCCCGCCCTTCACCCGTCGTGGCTCGCGAGGGGGTGAAGCTCCCAGTGGCCCCTCCTGGCCCCCTTTTCAGGGGCTCGTCCAGACCCCCTCTTCCAAGGACTCCTCCAGCCCGCGCAGGAATCTGACGATTGGCGACTGTTGCACGGGGGGGTCAGCGACGATTGATTCTGCTGCGAGGCTCCCCCACGAAGCCTCGCGAACGCGCCTCCTCGCACCGTCTCTGGAGCTTCCTCCCAGGATCTGGCGCCGCGCAAACCGACGCTTTCGTATGAGAAGTCCTCAACAAATCGGCTCCGAGGCTCCCACACGAAGCAGGGGGGAAAGGACGAGAGGCAAGACGAGGAGGAGGAGAGGAGTAAGTGGAGGGAGGATAACATCCTCATCTCCCTCCTCCTCTCCATCTTCGTTGGCAGCCCCAGTTGCTGAGGCAAGTCGTCTTCCACCTCCTGCCCCCCCTCTTTCTCGCCCGAACCCTTGGTGTCTCGGACAATGTCCAGCAAGCTGGATGCTCATGACCCGGCCGGCCTGGGCGATGATTGGATGCGTATGTGCCCGTATGTTCGATTAGACGTAGGGGTGACCCTTCGCCGGAGTGCGCCTTGGTGCGGGCCCCATGGGGTCCCCCGATCGCCGAGCGCGATGCGATGGTAGCGTCTGGCACGCCTGTGTTTGGGTCACCCCATGGCCCTCAAAGAGCCGCGCACCAAAGGTCACTCTTACCCAGGGTCAGGGCTGGACCTAAACACTGTTTTGCTGGATTTCGGCTGTGGCTTGTTTTTCCGTTTTCGGGGGTGGACAGATTTCCTACCCTGACACGTCGATTAAGGAATTGGCCGTTTTCGGTTCGCGAGAGGGCGTCGCGGCCGTCATTTTTGCAGGTCCAGGTCCGTCGGTTTCGGTCCCAGGCCGTTTTCACTAAGGGGAGGTCTACTAAAGGGAGGTTTGTCCACCGCCGGCTTTTGGCAGGGAGGCACGGGAAAACAGGTCGAGCAAAACGAACAACAAAGCGACAACAAAACGACGACATGTGCGTGTGGCCGATCTGTTTTTCCTGCGCTCGGCGTTCCCATGGCCAGGTACGCCAGCCCCTCCGCGCGTACATTTCGCGCGCGGCCTCCGCATGTCGCGCGTGCGCATCCAGCCGCATTCGCGTGTGCTTCCAGCCTCCCGGTCTTCCTCGTCCCCCCTCTCTGTCAATCTCTCTCTCTCTCTTTCTCGTTATCTCTCTCTCTCTCTCTCGTTCTCTCTCTCTCTCTCTCGCTTTCTCTTTCTCTCTAATTATCTCTCTCTCTCTCGCGTTCTCTCTCTCTCTCTCTCTCTCTTTCTCTCTCGTCTCTCTCGGCCATGAAGTCATCCTGACGTGGGCATCGCCCCCCACCCATGGCCGGTCGGCCCAGAGGGGGGGGGATCAAATGTTGTACGTCAGGAGGCCTTGCTAGGCAACCGGCGGGGAGATGAGCTGTACGGAGAACAATCCCCCTATCCTCCTCCTCGCCCTTGTGTCCCTGCATGTTTAACGCATCTATATATATAAATAAATAAATAAATATATATATATATATAACAACTCGGTTGTCGCAGGCGACGAGGCGCCGCGCGACGTCGCCGAAAACCGAGAGCAGCCGTCTCACGCCGTGCAGAAGGGCACGCGCCGCGGGCTCCGTGTGCGACAGCGCCCCACACCAGCGTCCAGCAGGGCAGGGCATCGCTCCGCGGACGCGGCTGGCGATGCGGCACGATGGCTTGGCATCGCTCGGACGTGTGCATTTTTTCCCTGCGAAAACCATCGAGGAGCCTCCTGGACCATCGAGCGAAAAAAAACACGCACGAGATCGAAGAATGCACGGGAAATGGAAGTCCGAGCGACGGCAAGAGGGAGAGCCGTTGGCTTGCAGAAGGGCGGGGACGAGGAGGAGGCGGGTGCGGCGGTGCGATGTCGACCGAGTTCGGAACACATCGAGCAGAAATGGATGGAAGGTGGCCCCTACGGCGGGAGCCTCGAGTTGTCCTCGCGCCACCACTGTGCATGGTGAGTTGATGTGGCGGGTCACTGGCAAGCAGGATTGAAAAAGAGGGAGGGGCGTCAGAGAGGGAGAGATGCCAGCTGGACAAGGGAGAGCAACGAGACCATGCATGAGGAGGAGCCGACTCCAGGTCGCTGTTCCCCCCATGGGATGGTCCCCCTTTCGGCCCCTTTTGTCCATGAACTACACGTAAGAGTGACCCTTCGCCCGAGTGACCTTTGGTGCGGGCCTATTGGTGCCTGCCCGATCGCTGAATGCAATGCGATAGCACTGGCTTCACGCCTGCCGTTGTCCCAAAGGGCCCCCTTGGCCACGCACTGAAGGTCACTCTTGCCTAGGGTCACTCTTGCGTGTAGCCGAGTCCAGACTCCGTGCGTCTGCTTGCCCCCCTTCTGCCCCCTATGCGCCGCCGCCCGCCCCCCCCTGCCCACAGGCGCCGGGCCTGGCGGACCTGCAGCTCCACACGTGGCTCCTCGCCCTGCGAGAGAGCCCCCCCCCGGAGCCTCTCAGAATCAGGCGTCGTCTCATCCCCTTGATGGTCCTGATCCTACTCCTCTTCCTCCTCCTCTTCCTCCTCCTACTCCCTCCTCCTCCTTCCTCATCCTGCTCCTCCCCCTCTGATCAGGCGGATCATCCATCTCGTCTGGCTCAGAGGAAGTCTCAGAAGTGCGCGACTTGCCCTCGCATCGTCGCCACCCTGCCATCGGATGCTACAGGGCTCCCTTGCCTGCCACGGTGTGCGGTGGCGTGGCTGCTGGTCCGATACCTTTTTGGGCTCGGGCGTGCCCACCCGTCGACGGCAAAAGGCGCCGTGTCGATGGGTTGACACGGGCGTCGAGAGACGACAAGGACCAGCGCGCGCGCGCAGGGATGCTGGCCCCGCTCCCGCTCCCCAGACCCCCCAAACATGATTTTGTCATGACGCCGACCCCTAATGGTGTCGACCCATGCCCCGGGACCGGTTTCTCACCCCGAGTCGTTTTCTCACGGTCCCGAGGCCCGGTGAGGGCCCCCAGCAGAGGCCAAAAATGTCGGAGGAGGAGGAGGGCGACGAGGAGGAGGAGGAGGAGGAGGAGGAGGAGGAGGAGGAGGAGGAGGAGGAGGAGGAGGAGGGGGAGGGGGAGAAGGAGGAGGGGAGGGGAGGGGCAAGCTAGGTGCGCTCGCGTCATATCTGACGTCCTACCCCTCCCTCCCATCCCTTACCATGGCGCTGATTTTCTCTATCCGCGGACGCGTGTCGTAGCGGACCTGTGGCTCCGCGCGCGCGTGCGTAGTGGGTGGTGGTGCGCGTGCGTGCGTGCGTGCGTGTGTGCGTGGTTGTGGCTGGTGCTGGTGCTGGTGCTGGTGCTGGTGCTGGTGCTGGTGCTGGTGCTGGTGCTGGTGCTGGTGCTGGTGCTGGTGCTGGTGCTGGTGCTGGTGCTGGTGCTGGTGCTGGTGCTGGTGCTGGTGCTGGTGCTGGTGCTGGTGCTGGTGCTGGTGCTGGTGCTGGTGCTGGTGCTGGTGCTGGTGCTGGTGGTGTGGTGTTGGTGGTGGTGGTGGTGGTGGTGGTGGTGGTGGTGGTGGTGGTGGTGGTGGTGGTGGTGGTGGTGGTGGTGGTGCGGCGCGGTGGTGGCGGGCGGATGGGCGCGCGAGAAAGAGGCCCGCGCTGGGGCGAGAACGCCATCCTCAACGACGGAGGCCAAACACCGATCCGAAAATGAGGCCCACGCTGGAGCGGGAGCACGATTCGGAACGATTCGGGAGCAGAAATGAGGCCGGCGCCTCAGCGAGAGCAGCATTTTAGAAAAAAACACAAGCGAAAACCCAACTCCGGGGAATCCTGTGTGTAAAAAAACAGTACGCGGGGGGGTGCCGAATATCTTCCGGACGCCATCAGGGGAAGTGGGAGAGTATTTTCATATTGTGTAATTGTAGAAGGAGGAGGAGGAGGAGGAGGAGGAGGGGGAGGAGGAGGAGGAGGAGGAGGAGGAGGAGGAGGAGGACGACGACGAACAACCTACCGTCATGAGTTTTTCTTTGATCGAGTGGGTCTGGGTCCCCGCCACCTCCTCGGACGTCCTGCCTCTCCGGGAGGTCCTGCCAACAACGACCCGGCGAGTGCACTTTGTTTAGGGCCGCCTCGCCTCCAGAGAGGCCCCCAGCGGGTCCTCCTTGCCTTAGGTCGGGCCTGTCCCCCTAAAGGAGGGATATTCACAAATAGTATAAAAACAATCTCGGGACGATTTTGGACTAGTTTTCGTTACTTTTGAATAGTTTTGCCTATTCTTCATCTTTCTCCCCAAATCCGCATGTAGGGGGACATGCCCGACCTAATCCTTGCCCCAGCAGAGCGTACTAATAGAGCAGCAAGGGCGAAGAAGCAGGTGGAGGAGTAGAAGGTCGGCGAGTGAGGACGTGCATTGTCCCAGGTATTCCTAGGGATGACTAGGAAACGCACGGCCATGCGCGCGTTGGTGCATCTTTCACCCAGGGATCGTGGCCGTTCGGACCAAAAATGTAGCTGGCACTGAGGCGGGAGCACGATCTGCATAAATCGTCAGGAAGTCTCAGGCGAAACGGTTGCCGGCCAGGCACGGGTTCCCCGCCCCCCGCTGTGGGACTCTTCTGTGCTTCGTCGCACGATTAGAACCCTCTGGCAAAACATTATGGGGTCCTCGGCTCGAGCGGGGCTAGGACGAGGATAAATCCCTCCCAGAGCGTTCTGGAACGCTCTGAGAAGTCCACGGCGCCCGAGACAGCCTTCAGATTCTCTATTTATCCTCGCCCGATGCTATCTTCGTCCTAGCTTCGTCTTCCTGGCGGCACTTCACCTGCCCAAGACGAGCTGAAGACACTCGAATGCCCCAGCCTTTGATCCTGGAAGTTCGGGGCTTCTCAGCTCGTAGGTTCGAGGCCGAAGGCACTCCTGGTTTCCGACGGCCTCCGGAGGCCTCAGAGGATTTTCGGAGGCCTCCTGGGGGGTTCTCCGTAGAACCCTGGAGACGCCCACAGAGCCTGGAGACCCCCAGGAGGAGGAGAAGACGGGGATGAAGTGAGGGAGGGAGAGGAAAGAGAGAGAGAGAGAGAGATAGAGAAACAAAAAAAAAGATATAGTGGCAGACAGAGCAAGTAGGTCAAACGGCGGCGCGCTCAAAGGTAAGCGATGTTTGCTAGCGTCTCCGATGAGAGATGAGACGGAGGTGCCGCGTCCGCTGCCACAGGGGAAGAGCTCAACCAAAAAGGATCGAGGCACGGAGGGTGCTGGAGCTCGTACTCCCTCTCTCTCTCTCTCTTTCTCTTTTTTTCTCTCTTTTCGTTACTCGCCCATGGTTGTGTTACTCACCCAGTGTTGCAGGCGTGTCTTTTTCTCCCTGTACTGATGCCAGGAGCGCCCTCTTCCTGAGGGCGGGCCCGCGGGTGACGCGACTGGCCCCGATAGAGGCGGCACACGCACGGTCACTCTTCAGTCGCGGTAGTTGCGCGGAATTGCGTTGTTTCCAGATGGTGTATGTGTTCGTCGCTTCTGCCCTGCATCGGGGAAACTTACAAGTTCGAGTGCGCCAGAACTCGGGTGTACCGACGTTGTTTGACGAGCGCGTCCTGGATTTTGACGGTCCTATTGTCGCGGGATGTTAGCAGCGGGATTTCGCGTCAAAATTCCGATTGGGTCTCGTCAGTTTCATCATGGCCCCGTCAGGCCAACTCGAGTCCACCGAACCCGAGTCTCATGTCCCCGATTGGATTGATGCCACGAGCGCCTGGAGTCTGCACGACACGTCTCTTGGTGCAGCCCCGCTCCCGACAGGTTACTTCGCTACGTTCACGGCGGGGCAGAGATGTCGGTTCCAGGTGCTGCCGCGCGAGATCAGAAGGAGACCCCGACCCTCTCTGCTTCCAAGATGCTTTTTTACAGGCCCACCAAAGAATGTTCTAAGAACCTTTGGGAATGCCGGGACGGTCGGTCCCTGCTCGAGGGTGCACTTTCCCAACACCTTTTGGAGCGAGGGGGGTATTTTTCGGGGGCGTTGAGGGCACATCTTTAGGGCTACTTTTCTTGCGCTCCAGTACATGTGTCCCCTGGCTAACTTCCGCCCGAGAGTAGGGCAAAGAGGAGGAAGCGGAGAGCGGAAGCGGAAAGAGAAGAGGAGGAAAGGTGGAGGAGGAGGAGGAGGAGGAGGAGGAAAGGAGGAGGAGGAAGGAGGAGGAGGAGGAGAGGAAGGCGCTTCCGCCCGAGCGATGCGGGCGTGTCCGCCCTACCGCACAGGCGCGGCACCAGAGCCGTGGCGCCCGCGAGGTCAGAGTCCAGCGCGCTTTCGCCGACGCCACCGCCAGAACCGAGGGCCGCCCGAGCGCGTGGCGGCCCGGCGATCTCTGGGCTCGGGAGATTGCCGCGCTGGGGCTGCAGGTCCCTGGCGAGCAGCGCGCCGCGGGCACCAGCTCGCCACCGATGCAGCAGTCAGGCACCAGCCTCACGAGAAGCAGCATATCGTCATCCAGGCAGCCCCCGGGAGTTGACTAGCACACCAGGCCCGCCGTGGAATACGCCAGCCACGATGTCACGAGCTGCCTGCGTGGAGTACCCTGGCCATTCTGTTGATCATAGATTGCTTCGCCGATCGGCGCGGGCCTCCAGGCCCCTCCCCCTCGCCCCACTCATGGACCAGATCTTGGCTGCTTTTGGCGCTATTTTTGGTGACTGGTCAGGACCCCCCCCCAGTCTGCCTGCGCGACCGGTAAGAGCAAATCGACTAAGCACCTGCTCAGACTCAGACCCTCCCCCTCCCCCACCCTTCGGCCAAATGCCGAAACTCATGACATACACGACGCTTACATGTATATGGGTTATCCCACCGGCGGCTGGCAGCCACCGATGGCGAGCTCTGCCGTGGCAGACCCGATCGACGCCCACATCGGGACAGAGCCCAGGCGGCGGTCCGTGCAGCAGTCGCACGCCGAGGCCACCGTGTCGACTCCCTCGCCCACGCCAACACAAACGCACCCGGCCCCGGCGGCACAAACGCCGAGGCCAACTGGGCTGGCGGGCCGGAGGGCGCAACCCGCGCCGCCGTGAGTACGCCGGCGGGGGCGCCAACGGCAAGGGCTCCCAAGGGAACGGGTGCCGCGACCGCCGTGAGTGCGTCTGCGGGGCCAGTGCCCGCGAGAGCTCCCCAGGGAGCAGCTGGCTGCGACCGCCGTGGGCACGCCCACGGGATCAGTGCCGGCGAGCACTCCCAAGGGAGCAGTGGCTGCAGCCGCGGGGTGGACACGGGGCAGCACGGGCGAGAGCTCCCAGGGACGCAGCTGCTGTGACTGCCGTGAGTGCGCCCACGGGGCCAGCACGGGCGAAGGCTCTTGGGGGGGCAGCAGCCAGAGCCGCCGAGGCCGAACGCCAGCCCGACGCGGCGGCCGAGGAGGTTGAGGACCCGTTCGCCAGAAGGCCGCCCACATGCCCTGGAGGGTTTCTCCAAAGGGCTTAGGCGACCCCTCCTCCTCCTCCTCCTCCTCCTCCTCCTCCTCCTCCTCCCTCCTCCTCCTCCTCCTCCTCCTCCTCCTCCTCCTACTCCTCCTCCTCCTCCTCCTCCTCCTCCTCCTCATCATCATCATCAGCATCATCATCATCATCATCATCATCATCATCATCATCATCATCATCATCATCATCATCATCATCATCATCGGGTCGCCTACGGCCCCGGGGGAAACCGTGCAACGTGCAACATGCCCCCGCTCAGCGGATCCTCCGACGGTTCGGGGAGGAAAAACGAGCTCGGGGCACCGCTGCGTGGGGGGTGAGCGTGCGACAATGGCGTGGCTCGCGGCGAACGTGATTTCCTGGCCACGCAAGGTGGCGCGGAAGGGAGGACTGCGTTCTGCGACGCGGTCAACGCGGCTTCTCCTCCATACTCCCGACAGCCTTGATTGCTTCCTCGGTTCCGTGGCCAACGGCATCAACATGAACACCCGACCACGCGCAGGTCGTTCCGTCAATCGCATTCGACCTCGATATTGCGCCCTTCTGTTCTGACGTTTTCTGGGGCAGGTTTTCGGAAGCTCCGGAATTCTGGCATCCAGAAACGGCTTGCATTTACACTTGGAATCGCCCACACTGCTTCCGTGGTCGTCGATCGCCAGAGTATCCAACCATTTCCCATGCAGGGCATGGTGTACCAGGGGAGGCTATATTGATCCTGGTCGAGATCTAGCAGGACGGTGCCCAGGAGCTTCAGAAACGGGGGAGCTTGCATCTCCCCTACACAGAAGTGGCCTTCACCGAGCTTTCAGCTGCGGCCAGGTTCCTGCGCGCGAGCGCCTTTGAAATCAGTTCAAGCGGAAGTCTCAGCAGCAGCTACATAGGACTCGTTACCTGCGACGCACAGGCCGGATGGGCCCCACGTGACCCTGGCAATGAACCCCGCCAAGGTTCGCATGGCATCAATTTGTTTTCAACGTTTCACAGCGAAGGCGAGCAGCCACTGATGTAAGTAGTGGCCGGATGCTCGGGGTCTCCGGGCAGTTGGCCGCGCCGAGTTACCCAATGGCCAAGAAAACAGGACGCGAAGACAACGGCCGCCCCCCTGGTGCCTGGCCGTGCCCCACCCTCCTCGGGCGCGAAGACGACTGCTCTCCTGGCCTGCGCACGTTTCCGCTCCCTGTCGGTTGGCCCAAAAAGACCACGAACTGAGTCGTCGTCCCCCTCGGCCAGGGCCGCTCCCCCCCGTTTCGGGCGGGAATGGCAACCGCGGTCCACCTGTGCGCTCACGCCCCGACGCGGACAGCATCACCCCGTCCCGCTTCCCTCTTCGCCTTCATTCACACCCGTTTCGCCTGGTCACCCAGCTTTCTTCCCAAGTGCCCGCGGCAGATCATACGAGGCGCCACGGCGACCCGCAGGACAGCCACGCCTGTGGACGGGGTCGTGCGGGGGGGGAAATGGACGCAGCGGGGGGCGACCAACGCATTGCCACGAGCAGCGAATGCAATCCCAATACCTCAGTGACACCACAGAGCTCCCCAATGTTTCACGACTCGCCCCACCCCCCCCTTCCCTTCCGTGAATAATGTTCCTCACTTTCCCCCCCCGCCCCTCATTCCCTAGGCCCTAGGCGCGCGCAAGTGGCACGCGCATGCCCCCCACGCAGGGGGCCAAGCAGACTGGGGGGGGGGAGGAGACGGGGGGACTGAACAGGGGGGCACTTCGGCGCAGTTCGCTTTTGGCGATGGCCATGGGCGACTGCGGACCAAGCGTGGCCGACGCCAGCGCTGCTCGAACGACAGAGCGCAAGTGGCGGCCATTGTCGTGGGCGTTTCCCTCCCGAGGCAGATGCTCCATGTCTTTGGGGGGGGGTCCCGCGGTTAGGGGTGTCCGTTTTTTGCCCCTCCCTCTTCGGCCCCCTTCCTCGGAGGTCTCTTCCTGTGCCCTCTTGTCCTCCTCCCCCCCCATTCTCTGGCCCCACAGTATTCCCCATCGTATGTTCTAAGCTTCACTGTGGTTCGTCGCCTCTCCAGCGGCGAAGGCCGCGCGAAAGAGGAGGAGGAGGATAAGTACGAGTGGTGGAGGTGGGGGCATTATCAGAAGAACAGGGAGGGGAGGAGGAGGAGGAGGACCAGTGTAAACCCAAGACTCATCAACTATATTGCAATCAACCATCCCTCCAAGCTCCTTCTTCATAGGCCCCACAAGGATTCATTTTCACTGGGGGAAGTGCCAAGTTGGAAGAACACTGTTTGAACATCTTGATCTTTGCCAGGCCACCATTCCAGGAACTTCAACGCCGCGAGTCACCGTTATTGTTGCGTGTTGACGACCCTGAATCGCGCTAGAACGCCGTTCCTGGGACCTCAACACCGCCAATCAACGTAACTCCTTCGCCTTGACAGTCTGACACCGTGCCAAAACACCATCATTGTTGAAACGATAACCATATGAATCCTCGAAGCTGCTGTGAGCCCTTAAAACGAACACGTGCGGCGCTAAGGCGAGAGCCACATGTTGAAAAGGAACCGCCCTCCATGCGTGAAGCGCTTCAACTTATTTAAAAGAATGCGCGCGGCGCGAATGCGAGGGCCTCAATGTGAAAGCGGCCCGCGCGAAACCTTTGCAATTGCGCTGAGGCGAGAGCCACAGTTTGAAAAGGAACCGCCCTACATCCGTGAAGCTTTTTTAAAAATGTATATCTACATGATAATAAAAGAGGAAAACGAACGCCCCCGGCGCCAAGGCACGAGCCACATATTGTAAGCAATATGTTGTCAGTCCGATCCGTATTATCCCGCAGTTGTTTAAGACCATTGTGCGCGGCGCGAAGCCCAGAGCCACATTTTGACAGGGAGCCGCCCTCCATCCGCGAAATTCTTGCAAGTGTTTAAGACGATTGTGCGCGAAGCTGAGGCGAGAGCCACAGTTTGGAAGCGGCCAGCCCTCCATGTGTGAAATTTGCTGCCAATTTCATATGCTTGAGGATCATAAACGGTGAGAAAGAGGCGAAACGCCCGTCCCGCCGTTCCGACCGACCCCTGGGTGCGACAGGGAGGAGTTCTTCACAAGGAGAAGCAATGGATGATGAGGAGGAGGAGGCGAAGAAGGAGGAGAAGGAGGAGGAAGAGGAAAAAGAGGAGGCCCTGCTGGGAAAAGTTCTGGGGCCACGACCCATAGGCAGCTGGCGCCCATGCCCCCTTGGGCAGCCGACGTCCATCCCGAGGGCGACGCACCGCCAACATCTGGCCAGGCCGCGTGGTAAAACATACACAGACCCAAACAGGAGTGGGTTCAAATGTAGAACTTCTGGTGGCCACGCGCTGGATGCACGTGCGGAAGCCCGGCGCATTCGGCCATAGAAGGGCCGAGCGTTGGAAATACATGTCTCCCCATGTGTATCCAGGTCTCGCTCTGGTTGGCCACGTCATGTGCATCCAAATTCTGGGGATGTTGTCTTTCTCCGGGAAATCTTGGCCCCCCGACCACCTAAAGAAGGGCTCCAGAGGACACTGATGGCAGCCAGACCACGGGTGTTCGGACGATTCCGTAGGTTCCTGGCGGTTTTTCTCGCTTCGGGGTGTTTTGCAACAGTTGCGCGTCGACGACCGCGTCCCACGGGCTCCCAGATCGCCCCGAACGGCCGCCAGAATCCCGAGCCCTCTAGAAACCAGACCCCTCCGGATTCGAACTTCGCAGATACGGCATCAGGAGAGATAGCGCCTTCCTGGCCGCACGGGTTTTGAAAAGTTGCACAGCACGTGCATTTCTCAGCCCCCGAGGGAGCATTCATCTGCGGGATCGTCGCCTTTTTGTTGAACGAAAGCGGCCCAGACCACCCGAATACTTCGATTTCCTGTAGACGACGAAAGTTCCGCCAGGGTAAATTTCGCTCCGTCGGTTCACATCTCGGGATGACTATGGAAGCCGAACGACGGCGAGCGATTCTGTTCTTGTCGGTTCCAGCGAAATCCCACAAGAAGCACAGCTGCTACGCATTGATAAGGCAGGCCCGTCCCATGCGAATCGACAGTGGCTTGAGGCGCCGCATCAGGGATTGGCTTCAGCGTGCTCCAAGGCGTGAAGAGTCTCGTTCGCGTCCTCTTGGGCGCATTTTGTCAGCGCGGGCTGTATGGCACCTTCTGCCGGATGAGAGAGAAGGGAGGAGGAGGAGGAGGGAGGAGGGAGGAGGCAGGACGGAGGACGGAGGACGGAGGACGGAGGAGGAGGGTGGAGGAGTGAGGAGGGAGGAGGGAGGAGGGTGGAGGGAGGAGGACGGAGGGAGGAGGGAGGAGGGAGGAGTGCGGAGGGCGGAGGAGGGAAAAGGGGGAGGGGGGAGAGAGGAAGGGCTCCGAGGACAATCCCAACCACGACCCCGCCACCTGCAGCTCGCTGCTGCAGGAACCCGAGGGCATCAACATGTCGGTGACCTCTGCGGGCGGATGCGTGGCGCTCGGCCTGGTCTTCCTGAGGACGGGCAACGAGGCCGTGGCCTCGCGCATCGTGATCCCGCAGAACGTGTTCCAGCTGGACTACGTCCGGCCCGACTTTGCGATGCTGCGCCTGGTGGCACGGTGCCTCATCATGTGGGAAGGCATCGAGGCGTCCGACGCGTGGGTGGACCAACAGGTCCCGCCTTTCCTTCTGCAGCTGGAGTCGGCGGCCCTCGCCGCCGGGCGCAGTGAGGACCACGACGGCAGACCAGGTGCATTGGGCCGGCCGCAGACGCCGGCGGGCAGCCCACCTGACATCGACTGGCTGCTCGTGGGCCAGACCAGGGCCAGCTTGGCCGCGGGGGCCTGCTTGGCAGTGGGGCTGCGATTCGCGGGGACCGGCGACGCGGGTGCCAAGCGGCTCCTGATCGCGAGGCTGCAGCAGTTCCGGGACGCGCGTCGGAACGACGCTCATCCGGCTTTGATGGCGTCGCAGCCGACGCCAGGAATGGATTTGGACAGGTCCACCTTGGAGACGTGCCAGTCCGCCTTGGCCGTGGCGTTAGGCATGGTGATGGCTGGCACGGGCGACCTGAGCGCCTTGAAAGCATTGAGGAGTTTGAGGAAGAAGGCGGACCAGGAGACCAGCTACGGCGTCCACATGGCCACGCACATGGCCATCGGTTTCGTTTTTTTGGGCGGGGGCAGATATACCTTCGGCCAGGATCCGGTGTCCATCGCGGCGTTGCTAATGGCGACTTTCCCGCGTTTCCCGACTGCGCTCACAGACAACCGATGCCATTTACAGGCGTTTCGGAATTTGTACGTCCTCGCCGCGAAGCCTCGCGGGGTGGAGGCGGTTGAAGTCGAGACGCAGCAGCCCGTGGATCTGCAGGTCCTCGTGGAGACCAGCCGAGGCACGGAGCCCACGATGCTGTCACAGTTGATGCTGACGTCCGACGACGTGCAGTCGGTGACACTTCAGAGCGAGGGCTACTGGCCCGTCACGATCCGCCGGCCTCTGCCTGGGACGTGCCCCGCCGCGGGCCGCTGGCTGCGCTCGCTCGAGGCCTGCCGCAGGCTGCACGTCAAGCGCCGCAGCGGGCAGCTGCCAGACCCGCAGGACCCCGCCGGCGCGCAGGCTGCCTCGCAGGTCGCCGGCGTGGCGCTGGACTGCCTCCGCCGCGCCGCCGCGGAGGGCGGCTGCGGGAGCGAGCCGTGCGGGCCGGGCCCGGCCGAGTACGCGGCGGCCCTGTGCTGCGCGCCGCCGCCGCTGCTGCCCGCGGGCGCCTGCAGCCTCGACTTCGAGGACGGCGGCTCCCTGTGCGAGCGCCTCGCCCCGCTGCTGCGCGCGCGGGCTCCCGCGCCCGAGGTGCAGGCCGCGCGCGGGGGCGAGCCGCAGGCGCCGCACGCGCGCTACGGCCGCTGGCTCCAGGAGTGCGTCGCGGGCTCCAAGCTGTGCGCCTACCCGCTCTACCTCCGCATCTACCTGCAGACGCAGCACGCCGACGCGGGCCTGGGGGCCCAGGGCGGCCTCTCCAGCGGCCTGCCGGCCGCCCCGTGCTGCTCGGCCGCGGCCATGGACCAGCTGGCGTCGGTGGGCTGGGCTGGCTGCACGCAGAAGCGAGCCTTCGCTGGAGTGGCCTTTGTGGCGCGGCTTCCAGGGGGTCGCGGAGGGGGGCCAAGCCCGAGCGCGCAGGCTGCATGCTGCCGCAGCGCGCTCGGCGATCGGCAGGCCGTGCACCAAAGGCAACTCTTGCTCAGGGTCCCTCTTGCGTGCAGCCGAGGTGGAGCATTTCTACAACCATGCCAGGAGAGACCTCGGCGCGCAGCACCCGCCGCTGCTCTCCGAGGGCTTCCTCGCCAGCCGGGGCGCTGCTCTCCGGGGGGCGTTCGCGGAGGGCGGGGCGCTGGCGGGCGCCCTGGCCGCGGCGCTGCGTGGCCCGGGCGGCAGCCTGCCTCTGACGGCGGCAGCCACCGATGGTGCAGGCGAGCTGGCTGCCGAAGAGTTGGTGAGCATGTACCTGCGTCTGCACGGGCTGCCGCGGGACCTGTCAGATTTCGACATGGTCCTGGGCGACTGCCCCGCCGTCGCAATGATGGCGCTGCCTCGCTTGCGGCGCGCGTTTCCAGATGCATCTGTGCAGGGTTTGCAGAAGCTGTTGGCAGCTCTGCCGCTTGAAGGGGCACAGCATGGAGAGGCGATGGGGGTCTCATAGCTTCCTCATTCTTGCCACCTGGCTCAGAGCGACAAAAAAGTGCGATGGGTGACATGCCTTTGTGTAGCATGCTCTGCCGGAAACCAGCTCTGGGGTGTGTTTGTTGGTTTGACGACCACCGTGCATCGTAAATACCACATCACATGTACGCTTTTGGGGAGCTCAACATGCCATGTCAAGAAGTATGGAGGGATCGAGAAACCTGAAGGGTTCAGTGAGATTTGTACTTGTGTGTGCGTCAGCGTGCTACCGTCTGCTCGTACGCACAATGACAAGCGTAAACAGAAGCAGGCACAGAGGATTTCGCGTGGGCCTCTTCTGAATGTGAAGTACATCGAGACAGAAAGAGTTGGGCGTATGTGAAATACGTGCAACCGGTCGATATCAATCACTGATCCGTTGGTGTCAGGGGTCTGGCAGCTACGAGGAACAGTTCCATATAGCACAAAGAGTGGCATGTGCAAAGCCAGACCGAGATTTAGAGCTTGCCTTGATGGGCGTCTGATACGTCAGCGCAGAGTCTTGCAGGTTGCGCCATTATCGCCACCAGAACATCTGTTTGTGTTTCGGAAACCACGGGCAAGTTGTGTTGAAAGACTTATGCGCATGTGAAACTCAAGTGCTTGTATTGCATTTATGTATGTATGGGTGGGTGGATGGAAGTGTGGAACTATGGATGTCTGTATGTACATATGTATGTATGTATGGATGGATGGATGGATGGATGGATGTATGTATGCATGTATGTATGTGTGTGGTTGTATGTATGTGTGTACGTATGCACCCATGTATGTGTATAGGTTGGTGTAGGTGTAGGTGTGCATGGGTGGATGGATGCATGTTATGTCTGTATGTATGTACGTGTGCTTGATGCGTGTATGTATGTTTGCATGCATGTATTGATATGTGGTTGTATGGTGAAGGTGTGTACTTGCGTATGGATGTATGTGTGTATGGATGTATATATGTAGGTGTGTGTATGGGTGTTTGTATGTTTGTATGTATGTGAGTTTGTAGGTGGTTATGCATGTAGTGATGCATGTATGTATGTATGCATGCATGCATGCATGTATGTATATATGTATGTATGTATGTGTGCGTGCGTGCATGTATGCATATATATATATATATATATATATATATATATGTATGTTTGCATGCGTGATTGCAAGCAAGTTTGTATGTGTATGTATGTATGTATATATATATATATATATATGTATACACAAATTCACAGTGAGGGTGCCGAACAGTCATTCAGTGTCCGTGGGTGCCTGGCTGAAGTGAGGATCCGTGGTGAGGATTATGCTTATTGCGTTGTTGTTGTTGGTGGTGTTGCTGGTGTTGTTGTTGTTGTTGTTGTTGTTTGTCGTCGTCGTCCCACCCGCGACCTACCCGCGACCCACCCCGCGACCCACCCCACGACCCACCCACGGCCCACCCCGCGACCCACCCGCGACCCACTTGCGACCCAACCCGCGACCCACCCGCGACCCACCCACGACCCCCCCGCGACCCGGCCAACGACCCAGCCGCGAACCACCTGCGACCCACCTCGCGATCCGCCCGCGACCCACCCGCGACCCATTGCGACACATTTGCGTCCCACCCGCGACCCACCCCGCGACCCACCCGCAACCCACCCGCGACCCACCCACGACCCACCCCGCGACCCACCCGCGACCCATCCGCGACCCACCCGCAACCCATTTGCGACAAATTTGCGTCCCACCTGCGACCCACCCCGCGACCCACCCGCGCCCCCCGCGATTCACCCGCGACCCAACAGCGACCCACCCGCGACCCACCCGCGCCCCACCCGCGACACATTTGCGACCCACCGGCGACCCACCCGCGACCTACCCATATTGGTTTCACGAAAAATCGGCGCTTGCGGCGGGATCATTGTATAATTTGTGAAACTTTGGCTCCTGCGGCGGGCTTCTCCAGAGACACGCAAATTGCCGACGTCCCCACCGCCCCCTCACTGTTATCCGCATCTGCGTTGGTGCTACGGTATATATATATATATATATATATATATATATGTGTGTGTATGTATGTATCCGCAAGACCGTCCAAGACAACCCACGGTTCCAGAAAGACCAGCCACCATGGCCGAAGAGGCCCACAAGAGGGGCTCAAGGGGCCCCCAAGACGGCCCCACGCGGGGCCCGCGCAAGGACGCTGTTTTCGCACTGTCGGAAGCCAACCCCTCCAGCATGATCCCCCACGACCCCCGAGAGGGCTACAAGAGGCCCCAGGACGCACCCAAGGAGGCCACAGATGCCTCCAGGAGGCCTCCAACAGGCCCGCCAAGATCCGCCAAGATATCCATCCACACTGCCTCCCGGAGCACAGATCCAGGCGCAGCGGCGGGAGTGGCCGAGGACCATGAGGTGGTCGCCCTCGGATGAACGCCGCCTTTTCCCCTTGCCCCCGTCCCCTTGCCGCCTCTTGCGCCGAAGCTGCTCCCTTCCAGGGTCGGCCAACTGGGCCGGCAGCCCTTGGCAACACATGCCATGGCCCATGGCATTGCGGCACCGCCTTGAAACATCAAACTGCGCACGCCGGTACACTGCCGTGCGGACGCGCTGATGCACTGTTGTGTGCACGTTGGCGCACATTTTATTGCAACTACGCAGTTGTAGTTTACGACACATCGTTGCAAACTCGAAGCACATGCGCGGCCGACTCGACCCTTCAGTTCTAAGACGCTGCATTCTCCTCCAAGACGCTGCATGCTGCGCAGTTGCGCTACGCCTAGTATGCTGTGGACTCGAATATTTGCACTTGGGATGCCACCATGGAATGGGATATTCCAAAATACCGGATTCGATTCGCGTACGTTCCACAATCGATTCAAGTAATTGAGATGTGCCCAACCATTTACAAGCGCGATGCGATTATCAGCAGCACCGCTCCACACATAATAACACACGGAGAGATCTACGACACTCTTGAGCGGCTTCGCCAAACTATGCCAGACCACATTCAACGCCCCCAAGTCACGCATGCAATCCTTCGATTCAGGCCGCAGTAGGGATGACAACGCCGAGCGCACCTCTAGGAGCCGCGTGTTCTTATCGGTATGGGTTTTCCTCGATTCCCATTGGTTTAGTTTGTCTTCGGTCCAGGCTGTTCTTCGGTATTGGGGGGGATCTCGACGACGAGGAGCAGTTGAAGGTGGATCAGGAAGAGGGACGAGCGTAATTGATGAGCTATTTGTAGCTACGTCTTCATTGTTCTCGTCGTCGTCGTATACTCGTCGTCGGGTTTCGGTACTACGCCCCAGACTCTCGTCACTTAACCCTGCCGATTGCTGGGCGGCCCCTCGCGCATTTGCGACACGTCACTTTTGGACGGAGAGCAGAAATTCCGAAATTATGTTTCCATCGGATGGGACAGTGAAGAGGATGAGGTAGAAATGAAGGAAGGAAGAGGAGACGGAAGAATTGGAACACACTGAGAAACAGAGAGGACCAGGGTGGAATTGATGTGTCGTTGTTGCTGCTCAGGTCGTCGTATGGGACTCTCTGAAAACCATTGGCGTTCTCGTCATCTTCTGGGTCGCCGTCGTCTGATACAATCGGTATCGCAAGCATTACCAGATTCCGGCCCTTGATCCCAAAATGGTGTTGGAAATAATAATCATGTTGCATCAGGGCCAGATCACAAGATGGACCTCTATGGCCGCGAAAGAATCGGATACATATTGCCGCTGTCGGCATAAGACGTTCATGTGTGTATTCTTGATGAGGATAACGGTTGTCGTTATTGAGGTAAGACGTTCGTTTCTGAATATGATATGTGGATTGTTTGCTGCCATATGGATTGTCCGATCGATTTCATTTGCACAAGAACAAAGCGAGTGACACAAGTAATGCGCAAATAAACAAAACATGGAATGAACATACCAATACCACCATCGCAGGATAGACACCATAAGAATGTGATTCCCAAGGGCCGGAAGGGTGCCGTTCGACATGCGGTCCCGAAACAAGTGTGGGGCCGTTTCATCATTAAAGTACGATTGTTACAATTGCAAGGTGCGATTGTTCCAGTTATCATGTGCAACCGTTCCAGACACAACGCGCAACCTTCTCAGATGTGTTAATGATGTTGTTCATGCGTGTTGCAATATTTGATTGTTAGCTAATTCGATTCCGCCTTTCAGCACCGCATCAGCCCCAGAAGCGATGCCAGCGTCATATTGGTGGTGGCGGTGGCGTATCGGCACAACGAGCGGAGCAAGGGTAATAGGTTTGTGTGTGTGTGTCGCAGTGGTGTCTTCGTTGCCATACTGATGGCATGGACCCTGACAACAACGTCATTGTGGGCATGGACCCTGACAACAATGTCATTGTGAGTTTCTCTCCCTCTTTCCTCCTCCTACCCCTCCCTTATCCCTGCCTCGTCTCCCTGATCTTCCTCCTGCCTCCTCGCTTCCTTCTGCCTCCAGCCCAGACCGAATGCGGGCGAGACGGAGCTCCATGGTCGCCCTCCTCGCTGCCCTGGGCCCGCGTGGGCCGCCGGCCCTGGCGCCAGGCCTCGGCACAACAGGGCAGGCGTGGAGATCGGGCGGGGCGGCTCGAAGGCAGAGGACGGCAGTCGTTCTTGCTCGGCCGTCGTCGCCGCCGCCGCTGCAGTGGGGGCGCGCATCAAGAAACCGCTGCTTTTCGTCAGGGTATCCTGGGTTTCTTCGCTCCCCGCGCTGCGCGCTGACTGCCCGCAGCCGCTGAAGGAGCTGCTGCGTTCAGGGTGCTCGAGGCTTCCCCTCAGTTTCACCCCGCGCGCGGGTTTTCAGGGTGGGGTTTCTTGCGGCCGCGCCCGCACTGTATCGTCGTCGCATGGTCGAGCCCGTCCTGGCGTCGTGACGTGGATCAGCACAGGCGCCTCTGCCCCGTCGTGGGCCCTCGGGCCCCCGAGTTTACGCGTCCGTTCCACGGGAGTCTCTCGAATGCTCTGATTCAAAGCTCACCAGAGCAACACCGCAGCGCAACCACGCGCATCACCGTGGAGCACCGCCGAACACCGCGCCCTTCACCGAGCGGCGCTGAGTGGGGCCGTGCTGTGCAGGTTTCTGAGTGTCTTCCCGGAGGCTTTCAATGGAGCGGACACGCAACCCGAAGGGTCGATCAAAGACCGAGCAGCATGCTCCTCCGTAGTCACTCTGGCCCAGGCCACCTGCGCCAGGCTGCCCCGGCGCAGAGCCCCGGCCGCGCGCCCTGGCGCCGGGGGAGCCCTGCTGAGCCTCCAGCCTCGGGCATGTCGCCGTGCCAGGGCGGCCTGCCATCCGCCCTCGAGGGCGCGGGCGACGCGGCGCCCGGCCCCGGCGCGGCCGCGGGGGAGGCGGAGGAGGCGCCGCCGTGCGGGAGCGGCCTGCGCTCCGCCCTCGACGGCGCGGGCGACGAGGTGCTCCAGGGCGCCCTCGTGGAACTCTTCCGCGCCCGCCCCGGGCTGCTGCGCGGCGTCCTCGCCGCGCTGCGGCGCCCCGGGCCCTCGCCCGAGGCCGCGGGCGACCACGCGCTGGGCACGGCCGCCCGCCGCGTGCCCGCCCCCCGCGCCCGGAGCTCGGGCCCCCCAAGAAGAGGCACCGCCGGCCACCATCACCTCCAGCCAGCTTTTCTCGTCCAGCCTCGCTTCTTTTCCCATTCGATTCGACTTGGGATTCCGATTCGGGTTCCAATTTCTCATTGGAGGCTTGGCAGCCTGCCGATGTCTGCCGAGTCGACTTTTCCCGGCTCGGCTGCCGATTTCCGCCGATCCGACGCATGCCGCTTTCCGATCCGACCTGTCGATTCGATTCTAGGCTCTCCAGTGGTCTTCCTCCCCGCCCCCTCTCCTGGGAGCGGGAGGGAGCTGGTGGTGGTGTATAGGTCTGGACCCGCGCCAGGATGAGCATGGGGGGAGACGGGTCCGATTTGTATATAGATATATACATATAGATATGTGTATTACGCATATAAGTATACACATATGCATATACATATAACACACACTTTTATACATATATATATATATATATATATATATGTATATATAAATGTTTATATATATGTATACATCCGATATATTTTTAAATATATATATATATATGTATATATATACATGTATATATATATATGTGTGTAGATAAATGGATGTATGTTTATGTATATATAGATATGTATAAATGTAAATGAATAAATAAGTAAATCAATATATAAATTTGCGAGACGGGTCCTGGGCCTTGGGGGCCCTCCCCCAGGACCAGTGCTTCCTCCCGAGTCGCTCGCTACCGCCACGGGGCCCGTGGAGGAGGGTCCCGAGGGCACGGCAGCGGCCAAAGGCCTCAGGACCCCTTTCCTTTGGGACCCGCTTTCCCCGTTTGCACACCAGGCATGCAATTTCTCCTTGGTTGGTTGTTGGCTTGTTTACATATATATACTAAAGTCAAAGTTACAAAATAAACATTAGATTATATATATATACACATATATACATACATGTAGATAGATCGATCGATAGATAGATAGATAGATAGATAGATCGACAGATGGATATAATTAGAGATAGAGATAGAGATATAGATAGAGATAGATATTGTGGCGGCAGGAGCTCGGGGGCGGAGCTCGAGGCCGGGCGCGCCCCGGAGCCGGGGGCGGCTGCCGCAGGGGGGCGGCGGCCTCGGGAGCGCGCGGCGCCCCGCGGGCCTCGCCCCGAGCCCGCGGCCAGGGGCGGCCAGCGGGCGCCAGCCGCTGGGGGGCCCCGAGCGCCCGCGGCGCCCGCGGAGCCCCGGGGGGGCTCCGCGCGGGCCTCCTCCGAGGAGCGCAGGAAGCGCAAGAGGTGGCATCGCTCGGACGTGTGGCGAGGATCATCGAGAATCATCCTTGATCGTTTGGCGAAAAAACCACGCACGAAACCAGAAAAAAACACAGGAAATGGACGTCCGAGCGATGGCCAGCAGAGGTGCCCCTCGGGGCCGCCTGTGGAGCCCCGAAGGTGCCCGTGAGGCGCCTTCAGGGCCCCCTTCTCAAGGATGCCCTTCGAAAGGTGCCAGCAGGCACTTTGCAGGCCAGTCTGAAGGGCACCTATAACGGGCACCGTTAGGCACCCAACGGGCACCTGCAGGATCGCAGGGGCTCGTGAGGTGAGGTGCCTACAAGAATGGTGCCCTGAAGGTGCCCCATCAGGGCCCCTGTGGGAGCCGGCGGGTGCCCAAGGGGGGCCCCGGAGGGCCCCTGCAGGGCCCCGTTCTTCATCCCCCCCTTTGGGGCGAAGGGGGCGTGGATGAGCGGCGGGTCCCGCTTGCGTGGGAAATCGCGGAGTTCCGCCGCCGAGCGAGGCGGCACCGGCCGCATTTTGGGGAGGGCACCTCCCCGGATCCATGGATTTGGCGACCGCCGTCCAAATCCATGGATCGCTAATCCATGCTTGCGCGCCCCCGCAGGAGGGAGAATCTCATGGCCCCAACATGGCAGAGCGGATGCCGTTCGGAGAACGATCAGGGTAGGCCCAGGGAGAGTCCTGGAGAATTTTTCGAGCTGCATTGCGTGCGGATTCTGTTGGGCCAGGAATGAAGACCACAAAACATCCGCGTGGAATTCATTTCGTTTTCCGCTCGCAGTTTCGGGGCTTTGCATTGACAGAAATCCACGCAAACATCCGCTGCAGCACGTCTGCAATGTCGGTGCAACGAAACAAAGCATAAACTGTTAGCGCTCCGCGCGGATTTCTTGGATCCGCGCTTGGCTCCCCCAGCGGCGCCTCCAGCGCCGCCCCTGGCGCGCTCCGCGCGCCAGGGCGTGGGGGCCCAGCGTGGATCCAAGAAATCCGCGCGGAGCGCCAAAAGTTTATATGACAAGTTCCTCTTTTTCTTGAAAAGGTTACCGATGCGGCAAATTACCCTTCCCCCGTTTTCCCCTGCCGTGGGCCTCCCGGGAGGCCCTCGTCGCCGCCGGCTGTGTTCGCCTCGACGTGCTGGTCGGAGCGCACCCCAGGAGAGGTCAGGGAAGTATAGCGGTATCGGTACCAGGGCGCGAGCTAAACTAAACGGTGTTTTCGCGATTTCGTAGATGTTGCTCGTTTTGGCTTCGTTTTGCAGCAAAGGGCGGAACGAAGACAGCACGAGGGAAAACGAAGAAGGGGGTTAGGGGGAGGGGGAAGGCTTCTGAGAAGGAGGTTGCCTCTCAAAAGGCGCGAGCCTTGTCTGAGGAGCAGCCTCCCTCAAGAAGCTCTTCCCCTTCTCACCCTACACGCGTGTGCGCGCCGCCAAAATACGGCATGAACAGAAACGTTCGGAGATCCTCGCGGACTTCTTGCATCGGCGCACGGGCCCCCCTGGCGCGCTCCGCGCGGCGGGGGAGGGGGCAAACGCCGATCCAAGAGGTCCGCGCAGAGCTCCGAAGGGTTACGGTTGCGCATGTTGCTCTCCCCCTCTGGAGTTCAACCGGGCGTGTCCTCCTACAGGAGGAGTTTTCCAGAATAATCAAAACATAGTGTTGGGGAGATTTTTCTAGATTTTTATATGCTCTATTGTTTATTGACTATCTCTAAGCTTTTGTCCAAAATCCGCCTGCAGGAGGCGGGAGGCGACGGCGAGGGCCTGGTCGAGCCCGCCGCGGCCAGGCCGCGGAGCCCGCCGAAGGCCGCGGAGCCTCCAGGCGGGCCGCCGAGGAGCCCGCTGCAGTCCGTGAACGGCGTGCTGGCCCCGGGCTACTTCCGGCCGCGCGAGTCGGGCGGGCGGTAGTGGGCCCCATTCGGGCCCTGAAGGTGCCCACCATGGGCTCCTCCTCCTCCTCCTCCTCCTCCTCCTCCTCCTCCTCCTCCTCCTCCTCCTCCTCGCCCTCCTCCTCCTCCTCCCCCTCCTCCTCCTCCTCCTCCTCCTCCTCCTCCTCCTCCTCCCCCTCCCCCCCCCTCCCCCTCCCGCAGGTGCCATTTAGGTGCCCCAAAGGGTGCCCCTCAGGGCCCCCTTTGGAGCCAGCGGGTGCCCTCTAGGTGCCTACAGGAATGATGCCCTAAAGGTGCCCCAGCAGGGCCCCTTTGGGAGCCGGCAGGAGCCCTTTGGGTGCCTACAAGAATGATGCCCCAAAGGTGCCCCATCGGGGCCCCTTTGGGAGCGGGCAGGTGCCCAAGGGGGGGGGGGCCCTGCCATTTGGGCCCCTCCCGATCACCGCCCGCCCGAGCCAGATCGAGAAGCTGCGGCGCGGGTGGGCTCCGCGGAGGGGGGACGTGTAGGGGAAGGAACAATGACACAAGCATAAAATTTAGATGCGCGCGGATTTCTCGGATCGGCGCTGGGGCCCCCTGGCGGCGCCTCCGGCGCCGCCCCTGGCGCGCTGCGCGCGCCAGGGAGGGGGGTCCAGCGCCGATCCGAGAAAGCCGCGCGGACTTCAGAGTTTTTATGTTTTCATCATTCTTCGTTCCCCTAGCGTGGTCGTAGCGAGCGGGTTCGTGCTCCGCGGGATCCAGCGCCTCCTCGTGGCGCTCGTGGAAGGCAGGGAGGAGCCCTACGCGGACGGGCTCATCGACAAGCCGCATTTCCTGGACGCGGCGGCCTCGAAGCGCGGCGCGGAGCAGTACTCCGAATTCCTGGCGAGCTGGCCTGGCCGGCGGCTGTTCAAGACGCACGCGCTGCCCAGCGAGGTGCCTTTCAGGTGGCCCCCAACAGAGGAGGAGGTGCGAGGAGACACTGTTCCAAAGGTCGCGGTTCTGGTTTCGGATCCTCGATATGCATTGTCGGTCACGTGGGAAGCCATGATCCTCATGGGCATCGATTTGCCGATACGGGGCGGCGGGCGTAATTTCGCTGACTTCGTCGATGCTGTCGTGAACCGAGACTTCCTCTTCTGCATAGATCCCTTCAACCATTTCGTGGAGTGGGCTCGGGAGGCAGTGAGATGGCCGGGCCACGTCAAACTCTTCGAGGCGGATCGGTTTGCTTCACAAAACCCCAAGGAGGTTGCCGCTGTATGCGCCGAGTTTGCAGATTTCATTGGCATTCCAGAGCCCGCCAGCGCAGCCGCTCGCCTCGTGGCAGCGATAGGGAATCGGCCAGGCAACGCATCGCTCGCACTTGCCAGGGACGACGTTCCGAACCTCGACGCCATCCGTGGCGGCCCTCTGGTGGAGTTGCTGGGCCCCCGTGTGCAGACATTCGAGTCAGCCGCTGCGACCTTGAGCTTCGGCACCAGGGCGGAGTATCGCCGGCTCCTGGGCAGCATGAGAGACGTCCCCATGCTGGCCGCGCTCGCCCAGCGCGCGATCGACGGCGTCATGACAACGCTACCGCCACGCCTGTGCGCGCCCTTGAAGGGCGCGGCGGCGCACGCCGCCGGGACGTGCCGCCCGTGCGTCTTCGCGCTGCGCGGGGCTTGCCGCGATGCAGCCGAGATGTGCGCGTTCTGTCATCTGCCAGGGCACGCCAGGCCCAAGCGCCCCAGCCACAACAAGCGGGCGAAGCTCAGCGCCAGGAAGTCGCAGGCGCGCTGCCGTACCCCCTCGGTCGACGGGCTCTCCTCCTGAGCCTGCCGTCAGAGGACCAGGGAGTTGCGAGGATGGGGAAAGGCGTCGGGAGTGAATACTTGGTTGAGGGTTGTGTGCGTTTTGATGTTTGATCGATTTTTGATGCAGTCCACTATGTCTCCAACCTGAGGCGTGCGCTACCGAAACGCCAGGTCCCTTGAGGCATGGACGTCCCGCTCCATTTTTGTGATAGTTGCTTAGAGCCATGGCCTAAGGCAAGGACTACAGACTTCTTACATATCGTGCATGTCTTGAGACGTCCCTTGTATATAACCGTTTGCTCCGCTGCATGCGTCCGCGGGTTTGGGCTCACGCTGGGTCAAAAGCGCCCTGGGTAGGCGTCGCGCAGTGCCCGGAGTCCTGGACATACGATGGGCTACCGGGCTGCTGCACACACGCCCCGAGCATCTCGGCTTCGCCGTGTCGTGGTAAGACCAAAGTGCCGATGCTCCCCGCATCCCCACCAGCCAATCCGAAAACAGTCACCAAGCGCCTTGCCCCGATCAAGGAAGTGTAGCAGCATGCAGTCACGCTCTGGGGGCTCTTGGAGGCATCTTGGGGCCCTCGAAGGGCCTTCTGGCAGGCCTTGCGGGGCCTCTTCGGGCAATTTCACAGGCAATCCATAGAAAAGGGGGGCGGCGACAAGTACGCGGCCACTCGGCGGCGGTTTGGGACGGTCCAGGCGCCTCTTGGACGAATGACGGGGCTATATTGAGCAATTTTGTTTGAAGCATCCTTGAGCTGCAGGGTGCCCTCTGGGGAGCCATCCCGGTGCCCCCACCTCGCGAAGCGCCTCCCCGCCCCCAGACCCCCGGGAGAGGGGTGAGGCGAAACGCTTCTCTGAATCGAAGAAGGAGGTTGGAAGAGCTGACACCTGAAAACGTCTACACCTGAAAGCGTCTAGTGGGATTACCCTGACCATGGACCCGACCAATATGCAGCGGTGGAGCTCCCCATATGCGGCCACGAAGCGTGCAAGGAGCAAGCTGGGGTGGGTGTGGGCACGCATGCGGGCGCTGCCACTGGGCCTCTGGTGGAGCTTCCTGTGGGGTCGCGAAGCGCGTGAGGGATGTTTTGAAGTTGGCGCTGGCAGCCACGCAAGCGGGCGCTGCCTCTGGGGCCCAAGGTGGAGCTCCCACTAAGGCCACGAAACATGTGAGGGGTGTGCCGAAAGGGCACGCATGCCATTGTGGCCCTCGGTGAAGCTCCTTATGGGGCAACGAAGCGGGTGAGGGGTCGGTCGAAATGGGCGTTGGCAGGCCTGCGGGCGTTGCCATTGGAGCTGCCGGTGGAGTTCCCCACGGGACCGAGAAACGTGTGGTGGGCGTGCCGACGTGGGCGGGGGGCCGATGAGGACCCTGCCACTAGGAACCCCGGTGGAGCTCCCAAAGGGAGCACGAAACGCATGGTGGGTGTGCCGAGGAGGGCGGGGGGGGGCGCACGCGAACCCCACCGTGGGGGCCGCAGGTGGAGCTCCCGATCGGGCCACGAATCGTGTGAGTGGGGTGCGGCAGTGGCGCACCAGGGGCCTGCCGACACGGATCCGGGGGGCGCATGCGGATCTTGCCATTGGTGCTTTCGGTGGAGCTCCCCATGGGGCCACGGATCGCGTGAGGGGTGTGCAGAACTCGCGTGCCACGGGCTGGCCGACATGAACTGGGGGACGCATGCGGGCCCTTCCACTAGGGCCTCTGGTGGCGCCCCCTGCGAGGCCACGAAGCTTACGTTGCAACATCGGGTGACCTCGCCTGTCCCAAGAATTGGTGTCTGTTCTTGTGCCCGACGCGGGCTCGATGCGGACGCGACGCGGATTTGGCGTGGACTCGACGCGGATTCGGCACGGATTCGACACGGATCCGACGAGTCCGACATGGATTCGACACGGATTCGACGCGGATAAGGACGTGATGGGACAGACAAGGTCTTCTAAGGATGCAACATAGTGAAATAAGTCAAGGGTGTACCGAAATCAGCGGGGGGCGCATGCGGACTTTGCCTTTGGGGCCTTCGGTGAACCTTCCCAAAGCGCCACGCACGAAACATGTGAAGACTGTGCCGAAGTGGGCAGGAGGACGCATGTGGGTCTTGCCGCTTGGACCTTCGGTGGAGCTCCTTCAGGGGCCACGAAATATGTGAAGGGTGTGCCGAAGTATGCGCGGGGACGCATGCGGACCCTACAATTGGGGCCTTCGGTGGAGCTCCCTATTGGGCGACGAAATATCTGAGGGGTGTGCCGAAGCAGAGAGAGATGCGGATGGCAGGACACGCGGAAGCATATGCAGAGGGCAGAGGTAGGAGGAGAAGCACAAGGAGGAGCAGGGGGAGGAGGAGGAGGAGGAGGAGGAGGAGGAGGAGCAGGAGCAGGAGCATGGGAGGGCATGAGGAGGTGGTGTGGACGCGGGGCGCGTCGGATGTGAAACGAGTACGTGCCCAACACCGCAAGATGGTTGGGGACAAAAGTGAGACCGAGTATGAAGCTCTGGTCATTTTGGTTGCTCTAGACGGCGCGCGTTTTTCCTCCGCGGCGGTTGATGTCGGCGTGCTTGTCCTGACCCTGCTCGTCTTCAATCTCCTGGACTCTTGTTCCTGGAGTGGCATCACGGACACGGTGCTGTAGTTGCGCATTCATACGGTTGCGTCTTCTTCAGCCTGTAGGGATTTACAGGACCGCCCAATTGTTCATCGGCGTTGCCCGACCCCGTACGCCCCAAAGATGTTACCGTTATTGCTCCTATTCATTGCCATTCCCCGAAGAGCAAGCTACACAGCATGAATGTGCGAAGGTTTGTGCAGATTTCTGGTACCTGCGCTGGATTTCCCTTTCGTTGGCGCGCAAAGCGCTTCATCGTCTATACACTACCACCGTGCCAGGCCAGGGCCATCCTGGGCCCTGGGATGGTGTATAGACCCTCCTGGCCTCGGCCAGGAGGGCGTATACACCGTGCAAGGGCCAGAATGACCCTGGCTTGGCACGGTGGTGGTGTATAGATGCCTCCTGTGTATTCATGGCGGCGGCGAAAGCGCCGCCCCAGGGGTCCAGCGCCGATGAAAAGGAATCCGCGCGGATGTCTGTTACGAATGCGAGTTTCGTTATTATGATCCCTTCACCTGTGAGATACACACGTACCTCAATGACTCGGTTTGTCTGGCAGTTTCTACTTACGATGCGAGTGTCGTTATTATGATCCCTTCTCCTGTGCTCAGGAGCGAAGCAAAGATAGACGCGTACCTTCATGGCTCGGTTTGTGAGAGCGCGCTATGTGAGTGTTCGTAACTCCAGGGCAGCCCTGCCAAAATTGGGGGCGATTTCGTTTTGCGTGGTGGGGTGCGTAATTGTTGTTTCGCTCGGCTCCCCATTTCTCGCCCATCTTGTTCTCGCAGGGAGCGAGCAGCGATGATAACGATACGCCTCAAGGGTTCCAGGTACTCTTGCTGCCTGGGGCTGCCAGAGACGAAGGACCGAGCAGAGACATCCGGGGCAACGACAGAGGGGGATAGGCATAGGGGGGGACGCATCGACCCCCAACCGCAGGAACGTGCCGACTCGCTCTCGGGAGCCTAACGCCGATCTGTCGGCGATGTACCGCCGATTCCGGGTCGGTGACCACCCCCACCCGTATGCCAGTCCCCCCCGTTCTCGCTGCCCCTCAAGACAGCCCATGGCCGCCAGAAGTCGGCCCCCCAGCGCCGCCCCCCTCCCTTCTCCCGCGATGCTGGACCACGCGCAGGCCCATGGGAGACCAACATTGCAAGATGTTGTAGGAATGGCGCATACCACCATGATGGAAGTAATATATATATATATATATATAAACATATATATATATATATATATGTATAGGATCGTGGGATTGCGGACTTCCAGACCAGGCTTCGACCAGCCAGCTAGCCACGGGGGCACCCAGCCCAAGATCAGAGCAATGACCAAGAGTTTGGGAGGGAGTGGGATTCGGTACAACGGGGTTGCGTTGATGCAAGGATGTGCCCAGGAAGGAAATTTCAGACCCTGGAGGATTCCTTATCTGATGAGGGCGGCAGTGACATCCATGGCCAATCCACGATAGGAGTTCCACGGGCTTCCAGACCCCTTATCCAATGGTTCCTTATCCAATGCCCTCACCGTACCATGAGGTGGCTGGGTTTCGGTAACAGGCGGTCCCAAGGTTTCGGCAGCACGCCGGGTGGCTTCGGTGACACATCAGAGGTTCAGTACCCCACGCCAGGACTTTGGAAGCAGATCCACGGGTTTGCGTTTACGAAGGCGGCGTGATGGACGTGACGCTGAGTCAGTGCAAATACACCACCGCACGACAAGAGAAACTTCCAAGAACAATCGTGAAGAGGCGAGTTGAGGAGAAGGGGGTCAGGTCGGCCAATGAAAACGTGCACTGTTTGGAACGCATATGGGCTCCTACGCGTGACAAGGGTGAGAGCAGCAATGTGCACAGGAACAGGGCTCGTGGCCGTTTGACATGGGTAAAAGCGCGCCATGTGCACCGTGAGTATTTGTTATGAGGGATCGCGACAGTGTGAGAGGGGTGAGATTGTGGCCCTATGCACACAACATAATGCAAAAACACCACGTGACATTTCCGTAAGGCGCTCCCGGCGGCGCTCCCGCAGGAGATTTGTTTATTCTGCGCAGTCTGTTTTTATTTTGTTTAATATTTGAGTGACGTGCCTTGCCGTTCCAGGGCGCTTCAACAGCCGCCTCTTGTGGGGGCGAACGTTTTGTTTGCGAATGGTTTCTCCTGCTTCGTGTCGTGTTTTCACGCAGTGTTGAAGGGAGCGTGCCGGTGCGCACGTGCTGTTGTGGCGTGCCAGCGGCTCGCTCCTTGCAAATTCGAGCGCCGTTCCCTGGAGACGCCGGCGGCTGTGGCGTTTTTGCGCGCTGTTTTTTTTCCGCGAAATGGTTTCATGTAATGTTTTCGGGCGCCCGCGCCGACGAAAGGCGCTCATGTGGGGCCCCAACGGCCCGCTCTTCGCAAAATTGGTTACCG